TTTGTGATCATGTATTAGATCCTGAAACAGAAAAAGGATATTACAGGAAAAACTCATGAGATTCAAATAAAAAGTCTATAGTTTAGTTAATATAACCTACGTGAATGTCTTAGTTTTGATAATTGTTTTATGGTTATGTAAGATGTTAACATAAAGGAAAGCTGTGTAAAAGGTATATGAAACAATTTTTGCAATTTTTCTGTAAATCTAAAATTAACTCAAATTAAAATGATCAATTAAAAATAAGGGGCACCTGGGTGGCTCAGTCATTAAGCATCTGCCTTCGGCTCAGGTCATGATCCCAGGGTCCTGGGATCGAGCCCCACATGGGGCTCCCTGCTCTGCGGAAAGCCTGCTGCTCCCTCTCCCACTCCCCCTGCTTGTGTTCCTTCTCTCACTGTGTCTCTGTCAAATAAATAAATAAAATCTTAAAAAAAAAGGGGAGGCGCCGGGGTGGCTCAATTGGTTAAGTGTCTGCCTTCAGCTCAGGTTATGATCCCAGGGTCCTGGAATAGAGCCCCACATAGGGCTTCCTGCTCAGTGGGGAGCCTTCTTCTCCTTCTCCCTTTGCCCCACCCCCCCAACCCCAGCTTGTGCTCTTATATAAAATCTTAAATACATACATACATACATGGCAATGCCAAGAATCAAATTCAGGATCACAGCTAATTCTTGTGCAGAGGTAGGTGAATGAAATCAGGGAGCTATGCTCAAGACACTTCAACTGCCTGAGGCAGTTTTCTTTCTTAGGCTATGTGGATGGTACATGGATTTTTTTTTTTTTAAGATTTTATTTATTTGCGAGAGAGAGAATGAGAGACAGAGAGCATGAGAGGGAGGAGGGTCAGAGGGAGAAGCAGACTCCCTGCCGAGCAGGGAGCCTGATGTGGGACTCAATCCCGGGACTCCAGGATCATGACCTGAGCCAAAGGCAGTCGCTTAACCAACTGAGCCACCCAGGCGCCTGGTACATGCATATTTTTAAAATTATATTTATATGCCTGAAATAGCTCATAACTTCTTTGAAAAGTTTCAGACTTTTGAAATGGGTACAGACACATCTGCTTATAATTTATTCATTCACTCAACATTTAACAAGTACCTATTGTAAAATGTATTCCTGTCCTTAAGAAATCCAATTTCGGCATCTACTGAGACTCAGGCCTGCTTCTCCTGTGCTGGTCGTAAGCCAGTCTTTCTTTTTTTTTTAGACTTTTTATTTATTTATTTGACACAGAGAGAAAGACAGAGAGCACAAGCAGTGGGAGCGGCAGGCAGGCAGAGGGAGAGGGAGAAGCAGGCTCCCGCCGAACAGGGAACCCGATGCAGGGCTCGATCCCAGGATGCTGGGATCATGACCTGAGCCAAAGGCAGCCGCTTAACTGACTGAGCCACCCAGGCGCCCCAGGCCAGTCTTTCTTAACAACTACTCTAGTCTGCCACTGTAGCAAGAAAAGCAGCCACAGACAGCACAGACATGAAAGGATGTGGCTGTGTTCCAATGAGTTATTTACAAACATAGGCTACATGTAGCTTGCTGACCCATAATTAACAGATTGTAGAGAATTTAGACAGCTTTAACTAAAACTAACACACCATAGGGTGGAGCTATGACCATGCTTTCATACTTGGCAGACATTTCATATATGAAAACAAATGCACTTTCAGTAGTAGATGCAGCTGTACCCACACGTCTTACAAACTCTGACTCGGAAATGATTACATGCCAATTTCACACCAAGTGTCAGATACTCATCAAAAACAGGAGAAGCAGATGGGATCTTTAAGATGGGCATTTCAGCCTTGAAACTGAGCAACTCACTCCATTATTCCACAAAAGACCTTGGGAAACCCCCCTCTCTGTCTGCTTGTTTCTCCAAGTATTTGATAATTAAAACAATTTGGTTATTTTAGCTTTTATTCTGGGCTCTACCTGAGTATACCAAAATTAATTTTAAAATATTTATTACAAACTTCAAGTCAGTATTTTAAGATGTTTATTAAAATCTAAACCACCTAGTTTTCTATTATTTGCTAAACTAGGGGAAAAAATCCTAGAAACTAGGTGGCAGGTGTACGGGTGTTTCCTGTAAAAGTCCCCGACAATCCCCTCCTACTGTGCTGTCCTGACAACAGATAGGAAAAGGAAACCTGGCTCAATCCAAGCACTTCCAGTCGCTACAGAGAAGGCACCCGAGATGGGTCTTTGAAGACTACCAGGAATGACCCAGCAAAGAGGGGGGCAGGCGGAGGAAACAACACAGAAGCTGCTGTTATAAAAGACCTGTGCCAGGAACACCACAGATGCTCTGTAGGGTTTCAAGCAGAAAAATAAATAAAGTTTGTTTTCCCCCTTTTACACCTTCTTTCTCTGGCTCCCATCTCTAGGTAAGTTTGAACCACTGCCCTCAAGCTAGGCTCTAGCATGAAAGGTAGAAAGCCTTTCCCCAAGAGCAAAGCCTCTCCTAACTGCAAGATGTAAAGAGTAAGAAGAATATCTACCAAGTAGGAGAGGCAGGAAGCCTGGGAAACATACTGGCAAGGTTTTACTCTATCCAGTGTCCTGCATATGGTGAAAATTTAAAATTCTCTTTGGGGCGCCTGGACAGCTTGGTCGGTTAAGTGTCTGATTCTTGATTTCTGCTCAGGTCATGATCTCAGGGTCATGAGATCAAGCCCCACACTGGGCTCTGTGCTGGGTGTGGAACCTGCTTAAGATTCTCCCTCTCCCTCTACCCCTCCCCGCTCTAAAAACAATTTTAAAAATTATTCAAAAAGAACTGGTTTTCCATCTTTTTCAAACTTTTCTCTTCTACTCCGCTCCTAATACCAGAAAATTCATCTGTAACCAAGGACTGCTTCAGATTTGCTGAGCTGAAGATACCAGAGTTAACCAATAAAATGGCAAAAACATACCAGCATCACATAATACACAATCTTCAAAGAATCTGAACTCATAAGAAAGGAACTCACTTCCCAAATTGATATACTATTTAAGAGAAGGAATTTAGGAGATCTTGAGAACTGTATGCAATTCAACATGTTCTCAGCTTTGAATTTTCTTCCGATAGACATCTCCTTGTATTTGTGACTGAAAGTTATAGACTTAAAAACAAATCTCCAAAGACGATACACAAATGGCCAATAAGCACAGAATCATTTGTCATTAGGAGAGTGTAAATCAAACCCAATAGATAACACTTCACACATACTAGGATGGCTATAATTTTTTTAAAAAGGAAAATAAATGTTGGCAAGGAAGGATGTGGAGAAACTGGAACCCTTGTACATTGCTGGGGGAACATAAAATGATGCAGCTGCTGTGGAAAAGTCTGGTGGTTCCTCACAAAGTTAAACATAGAACTACCACATGCCCCAGTAATCTACTCCTAGGTATATATCCTAAATAACTAACTGTAAGCAGGGACTAAGCCACGTTCGCAGCAGCATTATTCACAATCCTTAAAAGGTGGAAGCAACCCAAGTGTCCACCAATGGATGAATGGATAAATAAATGCGGTATATACATACATACAGCCATTAAAGAAATGAAATTTTGGTATATACTACAAAATAGATGGACCCTCGGGCACCTGGATGGTTCAGTCAGTTAAGCTTCTGCCTTCAGCTCAGGTCATGATCCCAGGTTCCTGGGATGGAGTCCTATGTCAGGCCCCCTGCTCTGCAGGGAGTCTGCTTCTCCCTCTACCCCTCCTCCCACTCGTTCTCTCAAATAAATCAAATCTTTAAAAGAAATAGATGGCCCTTTAAACACTATGCTAAATAAGCCAAAGGACAAACACTGCATGATTCCACTTATAAGAGGGACCTTGTAGGCATATTCAGAGACAGGAAGTAGAATTGTGGTTACCAGGGCGGGGGGGGGGGGGGCGCGGGCGTGGAAAGGGCAGAATGGGAAGTTATTGTTCAATGGGTACAGAATTTATGTTGGTGATAATGAAAAAGTTTTGGATATACATAATTGTGATGATTATGCAACACTGGACTGTATTTAAATGCCAGTGAATTCTACACTTACAAATGGTTAAAATGATAAACAGTATTTTATATATATCTCACCAAACATAAAAAAGATGAAACCACAATTAGTAATTAAATGCTTACTATGTATATGGCATTGGGCCAAAAGATAACTGTGTGTTCACCAGAGCCACACAAATTTGTTCTCCATCTCGCACAGATGTAGGCAAATGGGTAAGAGCACCATGCCTTCTGTAAGGCCACATGTCATTTCCAATACAAACAGTAAAATGGCCTATTCTGAAATGCTAATCCATTTTCCAGGCCCAATCAGACCCCAAAATACAGCCTTTATGAAGATTAGCTTCAGGGGACTTGGAACACATTAAAATCAGCATACATTTTATTTTCAAGCACACAAGAAACACCAAACTTTTCCAGTGCTATTATACTGTGCATGAATTCTTCTCATATAGAATTGGAAGTTGCTTCTGGTGAGGTTGCTGATGATCAAAAATCAAGACACAGGAGGGGCACCTGGGTGGCTCAGTCAGTTGAGTGTCTGACTCTTGATTTCAGCTTGGGCCATGATTTCAGGGTCCTGGGATCGAGCCCCGAGTCGGGCTCCATGCTCAGCGTGCAGTCGGCTTGGGATTCTCTCTCTCCTTCTGCCCCTTACCCATCCCCCCAGCTCTAAATAAGTAAAATCTTAAAAAAAAAAAAAAAATCAAGACACAGGAGCCTCAAAGATAAAGGAAGTTTAAGATATGACATCTTCAAAACCAAGAAATAGCATATTTTCCTTTCAAAGTAAAGGATATTTTACCTCAGCCTTTAATTCATTAAGTATTTACTGTGAAATGATCCATGTTAACTCTCCATAATTCTTCTCATACATAATTTACTTCAAGTGAGATGAGAGCCCAACTATAAAACATGCAATTTTCAACATACTTTGCATTATTTGAAGTATTCGAGGATGCAAAGTAGAACTCTACAATTTATCTTAAAAGAAAGAGCAAGTTCCAGGGGTTTTTTATTGTTTGGCTGACAGAACACAAAACCAGGCAGAGAAGTCCCCAAGGAAATGATGGTCACGCCTCATTGTTTTTTGCCCTTTGGTCCTTCACCTTCTAAGCATTTATTATATTTTCTTTTAAAGATATTAGACATTTATTTTTATCACAAATGCAATCCAATTGTGAATAAATAAATGTATTACATTTAACATCTGCCCCCCCATGTTCCCTTAAATAGAAAAAAGAGCTAAGGTGTCTCTTTCAAAGCCTATTTGGCCATAGCTGTCCCACCTATGGTTTTAAAAACAGACTGTAACTTATCTTCTGAGATTCTTTCTTGAACTACAGCTCATTCTGTTAAAGAAATCCTGGGAAAGAAGTCCTATTGATATTGTCGATAGTCTCCAAAAGGTGAGGATGGTAACTGGGCTGAAGGCAACTGAGAAGGGTCTTCAGCAAACTGAGGACCTGCAATTAAGAAAGAAAGAATCTTAAAAACCACCTGAATATTACACAATTAACAGAACAAGACTTTGTAGAGAGTAAATCAATCAACTCAATAAAAATAACGTGCTACCTTAGAGCTGTCCTCTGAATTTCTACTGCCTAATTTTCATGAGTGCCTCCAAATTTGGTAAAACCTGACAGCCTGGCTTTCTTTATGCTCCAGAATGAACAGCTCTCAACTGTTATGCCAGGAAAGTCAGATGGATTAATTATAGCAAGAAGTGAATTCAAGTTTTTAAAGCAATTGCTGTAACAAGCTGCTATAAAGATGGGAATAATCTCACACCTCTTGACATATTTTTCAGTAGCTATTTAAAATTATTTTCACAAAGTTTAAGTACCTTAGTCATGTTTTAAGAGAAATCAGTAATCCAGTTTATACAACCAATTAAGAGAATGAGTTCTGAAATGGGAAGACATCCCCTAGCTTGCTGTAGAACAAAGTCTTATAATATTTAGTTTTCAAAGGATGGGAGGGCCTGTGAACTAAGAAAAAAATGTATTTTTTGTTTTGTTTTGTTTTGTTTTAGATTTATTTGAGAGAGAGCACGAAAGGGAGAGGGTGTGAGTTGGGGAGGGGGGCAGAGGGAGAGGGAGAGAGAAACTTAAGCAGACTCTGGGCTAAGCGTGTAGATGGACATGGGCTCGATATCACGATCCTGAAATCAAGACCTGAGCCAAAACCAAAGTCGGATGCTTAACCGAATGAGCCACCCAGGCATCCCAAAAAATATGGTTCTAAATTAAAAACAAAAAACAAAAAACTTTTATGCAAATAATCACAATTATTTTATTTTGGAAATAAAATAATTCAGGGAAACTAAAGCAGACTAAAACATTAACTGTAAAGAAGAAAGAGGGCAGTGGTAAAATTCCCTGAAGCTTTCCAATGCTTCAAAATCCAATGATACATATTTTTTTCACTATAAAAGCACTACCTGTTCATTTCAGAAAACTAGAGAAGATACTGGGTAAAACAGGTAAACCAAAGATAACCATTATTACTTAGATACAATTTTACCTCATTTTTTCCATGGTTTTAAAAGCATTTTCATGTCAGTTAATTAGAAATACATGATTAACTATTCAAAGATTTCCCCCAACACAGCTTTTCAGAAACAGATCTCCTGTCTCAAATAAAATGCACTTCTTTTAAAGATTTCCTCTGAGGAAAAAAGGTTAAAGCAAAGTAACCTAGACTAATTTCTGTAAGACAATGTAACTTGGGGCTCCTGGCTGGCTCAGTCAGTAGAGCATAAGACTCTTGATCTTGGGGTCATGAGTTTGAGCCCCCAGGCAAAGAACCCACTGAAAGAAAGGAAAAAAAAAAAAAAAAAGAAATGAAAAGAAAGAAGGAAAGAAGGAACGAAAATGTAACTGATGTTTTTGTTATGTTTCTGAATTTCTGAAAAAATGAAACTTTTCTGATGTTTTATGTGAAGCCTTTCACACTAAAGTGATAAAAACTAAAAAGCAAAGTTACAATGTGCCTATCATAACAGATTATTAACTCCAGAGTAATGATTAAAAAGCAGGAACAGAGGGATGCCTGGGTGGCTCAGATGGTTAAACATCTGCCTTCGGCTCAGGTCATGATCCCAGGGTCCTGGGATCGAGCCCCGCCTCAGGCTCTGTGCTCAGCGGGGAGCCTGCTTCTCCCTCTCCCTCTGCCTGCCTGTCTGCCTACTTGTGATCTCTCTCTCTCTCTCTGTCAAAATAAAATAAAATAAAATAATAAAAAAATAAAAAATAAAATAAAATAAAATAAATAAAATAAAATAAAATAAAATAAAATAAAATAAAATAAAATAAAATAAAAAAGAAAGAAAGAAAGCAGGAACAGAAAGTGAGAGGATCCAGGAGGTCCCTAGATCATCCCTGGCATCTACTGTGCAGTGTTTGCCAACTGTGCCAAAGAGACACCGAATCTCTCGCTAGGTGCTTCAGGGAAATCAAATCAAACTGGGAGCTATGATCTATTCCTAACTCTATGCTGAATCTTTTCCAAGCTCCGAAAATAATTTTCAACATGTGTCACTATTCTGCCTATTTCCTTCCCCAAACGCCAGGTCAAATTTTTCCTACAAAATCCTCATGCTTATCTTTTTGCTTCCTTCCAATGTCAAGGAATATTGGCCCTTTACAGACAACTGAAGTTTTCTGCAGTTACCAGAAGGTGCATAATTTAACAGCTGAGCAGATATTATATGACCATGATCACTTAGCCCACAATTTAACTTTTCCCTATATATCAGATAAAAGGAACAATTAGCAACAAATTATTTTACTAACTTCTCAAAAAAATTTTCTCTGCCAACCATAAAGTGACCCTCCCAAACATAGCCACTTTCTACCACTCTATTTCATTCTCTTTGAAGCAAGCAACACAATCAAATCTCATTTATCTGTTAACATGTTAATCGGTCTTCTCCCACCAGAATTTAAGTCCTTGTTCACCACTATATCACAGCATCTAGAACAGTGCCTGGCACATACATGTAAGTAAGAGGTTGTTGATGGACTACCATTATTGTTACACATCTGCAAGGACCTTTCATCAAGCGCCTCTAAAATGACTGGCAATTTCTTAGAATAAGCACATGAGCGCTGACAAAACCTGAGAACTAAAAGAAAGATCAACAGCGGGCGCCTGGGTGGCTCAGTCGGTTAAGCGACTGCCTTCGGCTCAGGTCATGATCCTGGAGTCCCGGGATCGAGTCCCGCATCGGGCTCCCTGCTCAGTGGGGAGTCTGCTTCTCCCTCTGACCCTCCTCCCCCCTCTCATGTGCTCTCTCTGTCCTCTCATCCTCTCTCTCAAATAAATAAATAAAATCTTTAAAAAAAAAAGAAAGAAAGAAAGAAAGATCAACAGCAAACCATCTAACCAAAGCATTTTGGTTACTGTGGCTAAACACAATAATCAAATCCACATGTACCTTTTCAAATAGAACCAGGGGCTATTATCGTAATCCTCACGAGCCATGGCAAATGTAGAAATCACAAACTACCACATTTTAGCAGAAAGGATAGGTTCTCTCTAAATATCAAGAGGCCATTCCAGTGTTTGAGCTATGGTAGTAGTAAGCAGGAAGAAGACTCACCATTGGGAAATTGTGCAGAGGCGAATCTTGTCAACAAGATACCAGCTCCTTCAATTAAAGCTAGGAGAATGCCACCCATCGCGGCTGACCCAACCATGGCCACTGGTCCATCTGAACACATTAATAACAAAGAGATTACCTTAATAGAAAACTAGTTTAATAGAAAATTTGGTAAAGGAAAGAGCTGTCCATATGGCTCCATGCTACCCTCATTCCCAACCCTCCTTCTCACTGGCTAAAACCAGGTGTCAACAAACTAAGGCCCACAGCTCAAATCCAGCTCATTGCCTGTTTATGCAAAGTTTTATTAGCACAGTCATCCTCATTCATTTATATATAGTCTATGGCTGCTTTCATGTTACAATCATAGAGCTAAGTATTTGTTGACAAAGACCTCACAGCCCACAAAGTCTAAAATATTTACCATCTGGCCCTTTATAGAAAAAGTTTACTGATCCTTGGCCTAAACCACTAAACCTCCCAAAATTCTGGGTTGCTTTCTGTCCCAAAGATCTAGAAGATGGTTCTAAGCTCTTTATTCATAACACTGCTATGTGGCAGGTATGATTATTAACTCTAGAGTACCAATGAGGAAACTACGGCTGGCACAAAAAGTTTGGCAAAATGCCCAGTAACTTGAACTGCTCTTAACCACTGTATAGATCAGAACCCCATGCTCTCTCATTCTTAAACATTCCAAATAAAGAGATACTCTTATTTTCCCCCATATCACCACATACATTCATGCTATGCTAAATTAAGCAATGCTCAGTTTTATTTATTACAGATATCACTAAATTAAGACAGATAAGGTTTTCCAAAAAGTCTTGCTTTTACTAGTGTGTCTATAATGATTGCTTACTTCTTGCTGCCAGTATGGCTCCTGTTAAGGCACCACTTGTGATGGAGTTCCAGGGATCTTCTTTCCCTCTGACTTGAACCATACTGCAGTCAATCATGGAAAATAAACCTCCCCAAACTGCAAAGCTACCTATTTTATTTAAAAACAAAAGAAATTTCATTTTTTCATTTTACATTTAAAATATTATACTCAAAAATAACTTTAAATAACAACACTATATTCTTAAAACTCTCACACTTCAAACAAATACATGCAAACACAAGTTTGGATAAGCACTGAACAGTCGGAATACTTATCTTTTCAATAAAGCATGGGTTGTATTGTTATCAGCTTGAAAATTAGCAATGGCCCAAAGCCTAAAAGAAATAAGCCAGGTCTAGAAGAGTCAGGCTAAACACATTCAAATCTCCCTTTCAGAACCAAGTATCTCTTTTTAAAAAGCAATAAACACAACAAAGCCACCCTGCTTCTTCCTTCCTTCTCCTTTTATAGCTCTACCTTACCTCTATTTTTTCTTTTCTTCATTAAGTGTCACTGAGCATATATATATATATATATACTCTATAAAAATCACCAAGAGAGATACAAAAGAAATCCAGCTATCCAGGAATGTATTATATAGGTGTAGGCCAATACATGCTAAAGCAGCTAATGGATGATACAAACAGTCAGAATTATGGAACATCAAGGGGAGAGAAATTAGCTATCCTCCCTTTCTATCCTTTATTCCTCCAGCATGAAACTAAAAACCACACTAAATCAAATTACTTGGCACTTAAACTGTTCCTAAACACAGTAACAATTTTGTCAAATAAGAAACACCCACAAATACACTTATAGAAGTACACACAAAATTTTAGACAACACCAAGGTTTTAACTGTCAGCATCTCTGGATGATGTGACACGACTTAATTTCTTCATGCCTGCTTTATTATCCAAATCCTCTATCATGAGTGCACCCGACTTGCACCATATGAAGAGTTGTTACATTTATTATGATTAAAGAAGAAAAACTACCCAAAAGAGCCCTAGTCACTTTATTCTTTACCCTCTGAAATCTGAAAATAGTGGGGATATGTTAGTAAGGGCAATACCAAATGTCAGAACCAGATCATCACCAGAATCCTTTTCCAGTTTTCACATTATCCATTAAATCTATTAGATATAACCAGCTGAAATATAGCATAAGCCCTCATATCTAGTCCAATACTAGATAGTACACACTACATAAAAATAAACTAGTAAACTAGTTCTTTCCTCTAACTCAGTAATTCTATGTCCTGAGAGAGATCTGATGCCTCGGTGTATTTAGAATGTATATTAGAATTACCTCACTAAATTCCTCAAGCAAGACTCTCCCAATACCTCACAAGAGTCTGAAACCTGCCCATCCTCCAAGAATAATTGCCAGAGTAAGCTATGGTTACTGATGAGAATGAGACTGCATCCAAGCAGGGTGAGGAGGCTGTCCACCGAAGGGTGGCCCAGTGTGAGGAGCCAGAGCCAAAGCAGGGTAAGGAAGAGTCCTCAGCCTGGCATGGAGTTGAGTGTATCCATGTGGAAGGACGGCCTGGTGTGGGGTGCCACAGCCCAAGCGGGACAAAGATGGAGGTATTCATATAAAAAGGGAGAAAGGAAGAATAAACCTTATGCGGCTGGATTGGAACTGAGGTCCTGGTGTGAACTCATGATTTTCAACATGTACATATAAATATGGATATAAATTTGGGTATATGTATTTGTTGTGGTTAGTGTGTGTTTACATATATACATATATACTCCCAAGCTCTATTACAAAGAAGGCCCGGGAACAGCAACACCCCAACAGCAACGATACACTTTGCACCCAGATTTTGGATTCTAAATACCATTCTCAACTAAAAGGAACCGGAGCTCTATGGAGAAATGGTTGACTCTATGGCTAGGCAGGGAAAATACAAGATGAGCCTGGAGTATCTTGTTCCAAAATGCAAAAGATGCCTGAAGAATAATGGGGATGTGTCAAAAGCCCCCATGAAATTTTCTCTATGAAAATATAAGGCTCTTCAGGACACAACTATGATTTTTCCATGTTGCCTGTCCCCTGGATTTTGACTAGAGAAGCTCAGTAAATGCTCACTGAATTAAATTGAAAATGTCATCCCAGTATTTTTATTATTTTTTTAATTATTTTTTTAAAGATTTTATTTATTTGACAGAGAGAGACACAGCGAGAGAGGGAATACAAGCAGGGAGAGTGGGAGAGGGAGAAGCAGGCTTCCCGCTGGGCAGGGAGCCCGATGCGGGGCTCGATCCCAGGACCCTGGGATCATGACCTGAGCCAAAGGCAGACGCTTAACCGACTGAGCCACCCAGGCGCCGCATCATCCCAGTATTTTTAAAAAGCAAGACACCATAAAGATTTCTCAATAGTTTCCTTAAAAAAGCCAGTCCCAAGGATCTGAAATAATCCCAATTCACTCATACCACAACTTAGTCTTCCTCTATTTCACCCTGTTTAATTTTAGAATAGTTTTAGAGTTACAGAAAAGTTGTGAAGATAGCTCAGAATTCCCATATATCCCACATCCAGTTTGCCCAATTTCTAACATCTTACATTTCCATGGTGCATTTGCACAATTAATGACCCAATATCAATACAGTATTAAGTAAAGTCCACACTTAACTCAGATTTCTTTAGTTTTTATGTCCTTCTGTTCCAGGATACCAAATTACATTTAGTGGTCATGTCTCCTTAAGCTCCTCTTGCCTGTGACACTACCTGATTGTTTTTTTATCCATTGAAAAAGTGTAATATGATAGAAGCAGCCTCTTAAAAGACATATAAAAACCTGTATGACTTCCGCATATATTAGGAGTGCAGGGTTTGGTGTGTGCTTTAATACTACTTATCATTCTTGAACAAAGGAAAATCAGTCACTATTTACTTTCCAGGGGTATATAATTATTACAGAGGAAAGAAAAGGAAAAAGATATACCATCACTTCAGCCCTCACAGCTTCGATTTCCTCGCCTGGAAAATGGGGATAATTATACTTACCTCTTGTGGTGTTGTGAGGATTAAAATAATGCTATAAAACCCTTAGGAGAGTGCTTAGCACATAGCAAACACCCAATAAATGGCAGCTCCTAGCTAGGCTTCCAAAGAAAAATATGCTAAAAACAAAGACAGGACTATTCTGTCACACAAAATTACTAAGGAATGACTAAAAGTATTTAGTCTTTTTCATGTGTTCTACATGGTCTCTCCAACCTGACTGTATCTTTGTAAATGAATATAGCCTCCAAGCTTTTATTTATTTGAGAGAGAGCGTGAGAGAGAGAGAGAGAGAGAAAGAGAGAGCATGAGATGGGGGAGGGTCAGAGGGAGAAGCAGACTCCCCACTCAGCAGGAGTCTAAAGCAGGGCTCGATCCTGGGACTCCGGGATCATGACCTGAGGTGAAGGCAAACGCTTAACAGACTGAGCCACCCAGGCGCCCCACCTCCAAGCTTTTTTATCATCTCTCTTCTCCCAACTTCTGAATAACCAAGTTTAAAAAGTATAATGAATCCTTTTCAAATTTTGCATTGACCTCTGCACAACATCCAAAACCTAACCTTGGAGAGGAGTCTGAGCAGCATCATCAGTTTCTCTCTCATGAAACCCCAATCCTTCAGATCACATTCTCTTCAGCTTTATATTACCCCAGAAGCTATCACTCCTGACTCTCACAAACCTAAGCTTTAAACACACTGTCTTCCTTTTGGATAACAGGAAAAAACAAAAACAAAATACCACTGAGCGTTTGGACAAAGACAAAATTTTCAAATGAATGGATGCAGCAATTCCAGTTAACTTTCTCAATAAACCGTAAATCCAGAAGAATTTACAGAGACAGTAATTTCTAACAAGCTCTTAGATTGAACTAAGCTTCATCTTCAAATGAACAAGAAAAGATATTCTGAAGTACAAATGGAAAAATTCTGCTTACCTCCCAACTGTGGAGCCCTGGTTTTAATAGCTGTCAGACTCCCTCGTAGTCTGTGGTTTACTCCCTATAAAGAAGCAATCAAAAATACAGTAGAAATACAATATATTTCCAGCTCACTGATAGGGCCACCAGTGATATTAGCAAATCCAGATTTCAAGTGATGATAAGACAAGACCATTCACCTACTTACCACTGGAGAATTGCGAAAACCTTTTATTGCTTGAAAGATACCACCACCTATGGTACCCATCGTAAAGGCCCCACCACAATCATCGACAATTCGCCAAGGGCTAAGAACAGGAAAAAAAAAAAAAAAAAAAGACTATTTCTCATTCATAAACCATAAAATTTTCTTTGCTAACACAGTAAGGGATGCAACAGATTCCAATGTAGGGTCTACTGCAACCAATAAAATAAACATTTAGACAAAAGGATTCTGAACATATCCGTATCTATTTAGCTCCAAGCCATAAGGAATGGAAATGGCTTTAACTCCCTACTGTTAACAGTACTTAATTTTCATTTAATAATTAGCACATCTATTAACAGTTGGGCACTGAGCAAAAGTGAATAAACAACTATGTAGGAAATTACATTATAATCAATGCTGATCCAATCTCCCAGGGATCAAAGTAAGCTCTCCAGCTGCAGCAAAATTTAAAGCTGAGACCCCCCCCAAATGAAGATTCAACAGGGGCAGAGGGAGACCAATTTAAACAATTTTTAAAGTTTGAAATTCTTTCTGGGTTTATTGAGTCCCACTAGCACTTGGAACTTTAGTTTGTATTAGGTCCAACCATTTAACACGCTGGAATACTCTAATCTCCAATAATTAAAGGTTATATTTGTAAACCCAGTTTCCAAAAGTAGCAACCTAACTTATACAACACAATGAAATCTGAATAATGTGATCAGAACAGAACTACTATTCTAGGAATCTGGCTTATAAAAAAGTCTGTGAATGGTTAATTCATTTTTTAAAAAAGATTTTATTTATTTGTCAGAGAGAGAACAAGCAGGGGGAGCGGCAGGCAGAGGGAGAAGCAGGCTCCTCGCTGAGCAGGGAGCCTGATGTGGAACTTGATCCCAGGTGACCTGAGCCAAAGGCAGACACTTAACCAACTGAGCCACCCAGGTGCCCTGGTTAAATTAACTTTAGACCCACTATAAATAAAAGCAATTTCTTTGATCTAGTCTCAAGAGTCAAATGCTACATAATGAACCTATGGACAATCTACTTGTTCAAGTAAACTTGTGAATTCAGTGTAGTTGCTGCTGAAGAATTTGAATGAGTAATTTCTGACTTTGGTGGACAGGAATACAAAACCTTGCAGTGAAACATCATATTCTTTTTCAAGTATAATACAAATCAGGACCTTGTACAGAATGACTATCTCATGCAGCACATATTCCAACTGTCAGCAGGATGCTCTGGGGCCTTGCTAACCAAGGCTTGCTTTTGTGACCCTAAAAGCAAAATCAGCAACACCTGAGAGTTTATTAGACCTGCAGACTTACAACACTTTACCCAGAACCTACTGAACGATCCCAGGTGACTTGATTTCACTTTAATAGTTTAAGAAGCAGTGCTTGATATTAAAAAGGATTAGGAAATTGCTTTAAAATGGTAGAAACAGGTGGCGCCTGGGTGGCTCGGTCGTTAAGCGTCTGCCTTCGGCTCAGGTCATGATCCCAGGGTCCTGGGATCAAGCCCCGCATCGGGCTCCCTGCTCGGGGGGAAGCCTGCTTCTCCCTCTTCCACTCCCCCTGCTTGTGGTTCCCTCTCTCGTTGTGTCTCTCTCTGTCAAATAAATAAATAAAAATCTTTAAAAAAAAAAAAATGGTAGAAACACTAATAGGAAGTATAGAGAAAAGACAAAGGAGAATGAATTAGTGGCTCCTTCTGAGTGGTGGGCCAGTAACTTCAAAAGATCTAGTCCAAATGATCTTATTAGTTGGGGATTAAAAAAACCTTTTTTGGGGGAGGGGGTTAAAAAAATCTTAAAGGACAGCAGGATTCAGGGGTGCCTGGGTGGCTCAGTCGTTAACCATCCGCCTTCGACTCGGGTCATGATCCCAGGGTCCTGGGATTGAACCCCAAGTCGTGCTCCCTGCTCTGCGGGAAGCCTGCTTCTCCCTCTCCCACTCTCCTTGCATGTACAGCATATGATGTACATGTTTGGAGGCAGAGTGGTGTGGAGGGAGGGAAAAGATTCTTATAGTCTGAGGTTGGAGGATTTGAGAAAATGCTCTTACCGAACAGGACAGTACAGAAGATCAAAGCAGTTTTGACTAGGAAACTAACCAGACAACTGATTGTATTGCTTCAGGACATATGTACTAAGAGAAAGCAAAGTAGTAGATAAAAACTCATTATTCTTATTACATCTTTAATTCAACCAAGTTAAAAAATTTACCCTCCTGCCAGCCTGTGTCATTATACTATATCCAACAGCAGCTGATAACAACAGTCTACAATGCGCTGAATTCTTCATATGTAAGCACAATTTAGGAAGGGGGATAATTACATTTGGTAATTTTAAAGAGCCAGGAGGAGCTGAAACGCTCTGTATCCCATTTGAGTGATTTAAATTAAAAAAAAAAAAAGGCACAAAGCAGGTAATGTGGCTACTGCTGGCAAGGTAATAATATAAAGTCCTAGGCACTTTCACAAGTTGAAGATGACATTGGCTTTTGCTCTAACCCAATAAACAGGTGATTAACCCAAATAATAAGATTTGATTTCGCTCTTAAGACCCCCAGAAGCCTTAAATTTAGGCAACCTGAGACCTCTGGCAGCAATTACCCATTTTATAACTATGTATGTGCCTGATTTACTCATGCTGTTACTCTTTGAACCTATAAAGTGGTGGGCACAGAGACCGCACTCAAATACTGAATACATGAATTTCTGCTCATGGTTTCTCAAAGAACACATACTACTATCTCTTTCTATTTTCCAGATAATCCTTGTCCCCCCTCTCCCCTAAGGGAGAATTCCAAGGATGAAAACGAGGCTCCTGCCTACAGGAGCTTATCCAGGCCCTTTAGGTAAAATCTCTTGTTCTATACATTTGAAATCCTTCGCCCTGGGTAGACCGGTCACAATACAAATAATGTCTTAAGAATGGCATCCCCCTCAGAGGCCTACTGTCCATTCCTCAACACAGGAACTGAGCAAAGCGAGACATGGGGACGTGTCCAAGGTCACCTCAGCAGACAGAGGGGATTATTACGGACCCCGCACAAGATCGACTACACCCTGGGTTGGGAGCAGACTCCGAGGCTCCATCAAGCCCAAGCCGGGACCTCCTCATCCAACGCAAGGTCACCAGAGTGCCGGGTTGTTAGCGGAAAGGCTGCCACACGCGGCCGGGGGAGCACAGGGTTCAGAAGCCGACTAGCTGCTCTAGACGGCGCTGCCTATGATTACCAAACCCACATCGACAAGCCTGCGACTGAGTTCAACTTGCACCTACGGGCACTGGACAGGGGAGGACGAGGACCACGGGCAGAGAGGCAGGAGAAAACAAGAACAGTGGTAAAGCTCACCAAGGTTCTCGCGCGTACTCCTCCATCTTGACTCCACCTGCGCGAGTGATGCCGGGCAAGTTGGGTGGAGCCTGACCCCAGCGGCGGAAGTGATCTCGAGAGGAGGGCGTTAAGGTCTATGTGGATTGGTTCACCGTTTCCTCCCGCAACCAATGGGAGCCTTGACTTCAGGGCGGCGTGGGGGGCGGGGCAGAGACGCTCCGTGGCAGAGCTGGCCCCGCCCAGGTCCTCGAAGGCAGCTGGTCTGGGCTTCCTGCGCCGGGAGCAGCCCAATGGCGAGGAGTTCAACTTACCCCGTCACTGAAGGTTCCGTGGACTGAGATAAACCTAGCATTATTCCGCTAGGGTTCACCAAATTTCCTAAATACATGTCTTTTTTTGTTTTTAGTACTTTGGCTGCTAGTTGGGAATTAATGTTAGCTAATCCGCGATGGTTTGTGAAACTCTTAACCAACTACACACAGTAGGAGAAGGATTAGGGCAGACAATGTCATAGTCCTTGTAGTCACAGTGCTTGGAATGTGATAGATGTTCGATAAATGCTTTTGAAGTGAACTTACCTGGGCCATCTTTGCTGTGACCCAGTTTGGGGCCCTCAATTGAAGGGACAACAGAACCTCTTCTGGTCCACCCTTCAAAAGATCAGCAGAAAATGTGAGGGGTGTTTAGCTCAGAAAAGAGGAGACCAAAAGGATGGGAACCCATCAACCTTTTTTAGCCTACAGTCAACAAAATCTCGGTCATGTGATGTCTGTTAAAAGAACTTTTCTCCACTCCTTTTGAGATTGACTTTAAAATATGTATATATTTAGGGCACCTGCGTGGCTCAGTAGGTTAAGGGTCTTCCTTCAGCTCAGGTCATGACCCCAGGGTCCTAGGATAGAGCCCCTCATTGGGCTCCCTCCTCAGCAGGAAGTCTGCTTTTCCCTCTACACCTCCCCCCTGCTCATGATCTCTTTCATTCTCTCTCTCAAATAAATACTTTTTAAAAATATGTATATATTTATTTTATGGAAAAAATTAGTGCAGTTCATAGGGAACTGCAGTGAAGAGTGAGGTACCCACAAAATCTTGAAAATAAGGTAAACTGAACCCTCCACAGAACTGAAGATTGTCAGTAAAGTGTATCTTTATGTAAAAAGAACAGTTCACACTAGTCATCTGATTTTTATGTGTAAAGTCCGAGAAGTCTTTTTCTGGAATGTGACTGTAATTAAGAACCTTTAAGTCTAATTAACTGCACAGGCTGAAGAGAGAATGTGGGAGATGGGCAACAAGAGGAGCCAGAGAGCAAGAATTTGATATTTAGTCAGCACCCCAGACCTAGTGGGTATGAATATTTCAGTAACTAGAGATTGGCATTCTCATGGGGCAAGGGTATTTTTTTCTGTTCTCACCAGGACCCAAGTGAAATATTTCTTAGCTCTAGCTACCTCCCTTTGCTCTTATTCCATATTCATTATGCAGTCTTCTGATTGTTATTTGGTTTCTGAATAGATTTTCCTTTAAGAGAGAATTCCCTGGTTTGTACTCAAAACTATTCTTGTCCACTTAGTTTATGCATCTGCCTCTTGTGTGCTGGGTTCTCTTGAATCAAATCAATCACCGGGGATGGTGATAATACTGAGTTTTTGAGTTTACAAAGCTGAGGGCCAGAATCTAGCTGGTTACCCAGCTCACTCCATTCCAGCAGTCCCTATCCAAAAGTCCCTTACTGTTCTGGGAGGCACTGCTCAGATGGCCAGCAAGTAGTCTTAGACTTCTCATTCTTTGCTTTCTTTTAACTGCAACAGATAACAGGGTATAACATTTTTGGCTGGGTAGGGCCTTGGCCTTGGACTTTGTTGGCTAGCGGGAGATGTCACCCGTCCCTCAAAAATATCCATTTTCATCTGAGTGAAAAAACATCTTGGAAGAAAAGAACTAAGTACTCTAATCTCCTCCTAGTGAATCTGAAAGGAGTCTAAGGAACTGTCGTGGCCCTCAATGAAAGAATGGTGAAAGACATGGAGGAACGATGGAAGAAAGGGGGTCCTTGGGAGAAAAGTCACAATAAAAGTGAGGGGAGTTTGAACTGGTGATTCAACACAGCAGGGTATATTGGTGAAAGTTAGTGTTCTGGGCCCCAATGGAGACTCTTGCTGGAACCCCCTGTGATCCAGGTCCTCTGGGTATTGCTTTGGGGAAAATAGCTCCATGTGTGAACTAAAAGAACTGTGACTCTGGGGCCTATTTTGTTGTGGGGTTTCCCTATAAGGGGAAAGGAAGGTGAGATCAAGGTGAGGAACAAGGTGAAGAAAGGGAAATCATCCCTCATGCCTCGGGGAACCACCTGGATGGATGAGCTCTAGGAAGAAGCCAAGTATGGCAGTGGCACCTGTACCTTCTTTCCCACTCTAAGGTAATTATCCACCCCTGCCACGCCCCCCCCTCCCCTCAGTTAGCTTTCATTCATCTTCCACTCTTGTACAGTTAGACCATTCTTGGGGGAGGGGCCACTGATCAAGCCTAAGATTGGCGAGAGATGACCATTTGATCGATATCAAGGGTGCACAGGTAATTTTGAACCAAGAGAGAAACTAGAGGGATTATAACCCAAGTCAATTATAAGACCCTTACTCTGTGCTCAGGATTGTCCTTAGTTTTAGGATTAGTTTTAGGATTAGGGTGGAGAGAGTACAAAAAGTATTGGTATGGTTGCTGCCCTCAGGGTCCTCAAAATGTACTTGGGGAGAACGAATGCACTCTTGAGAAACAGGTCAACTTTATAAAATTGCCAAAATGTGTGACATAGAACATGGTAAGTGCTAGAGGCACTGAGAGGAGAGAGGGCGCCCTGGGGGCCTGAGTGTGCTCACGAAATGTACATGATAAACTTGCATTTAAGCCATGGCCTGAAGAATGGTCAGATTTTGATCAGTGGAGAGGAGAAAGTCAGACATTAGAGACAGAGGGAATGACAGCAACAAAGGTGTGGGCAGGAAGGAACATGGTGCTGTCGCTGGATGGGTTGCCAGTCCCACAGGAGAGTAGAAAGACTAAAGCAGCAAGAGCAAAGCTATATCAAGCGATAAATTTCTAGGGCAGAAGGTGTGGAGAATGACCGAGAAGCAAGACTGGAGGAGTAAGCTGGGTCAGGAGGCGGTTCTTCATGGGGCTCTCATGTGTCTACACATCTAAGCATTAAGAACTAACTTCCCTCAGGTTCTCTTTTCAAGAATGTTTATAGAAGCCAATGGACTTGGATGGGGCACCTGGGTGGCTCAGTTGGTTAAGCATCTTCCTTTGGCTCAGGTCATGATCCCAGGGTCCTGGGATCGAGTCCTGCATCAAGCTCTTTACTCAGCAAGGAACCTGCTTCTCCCTCTGCCACTTCCCCTGCGTGTGTGCTCATTATCTCTCTCTGACAAATAAATAAATAAAATCTTTAAAAAACAGAAGAAGAAGAAGCAGCCACCGCCAAGGGCCTTGGAAAGCTAGAGACAGGGACTTCCCCTGGAGCAGATTTAATTACAGGATAGTAAAAGCAGAGATGTCTCCCTTCTGTCCTTGGACTGGATTTGTTGCCCTTCCAGGGTAATGAAGATATATTAGAGTTTTATCTCCTGTATTAATATAGCTAAAGGAGTTCATTCTAGAAGGATACAGTGAGGTCATAGGGTAAGGAAGAGGCCTGAAATAGCTTCTGTAGGGGTGTACAAGAGAATAAACCACAAATGAGTAAAAGAACCAAGAATGCTTCTTTCTATACAGACCCAACCTATGGAGGAAGGGGGATGGCCATTTTCAGAATCTGCACCTCCCAACCACTCAGTACCTTCAAGGGTCCTGGACCTACATAGGTTGAGCTCCATTGAGCCAGAGGCAGTGGGAGTCTCAAAGAGTTTTGTCTACCAAGAGGTCACAGGCCATGTATGCGGCTCCACAACCCCCAGTCCTGCCTGGTCCAGTTCGTGAGACACTCAAATTGGCATGGACAAATGAGGCCTGCACCACAGCTGACTCTTGGGTCTGGGGATGCAGTCTGTGCCTGGTGTCTCTTTGGTGGGTAGAGAGGTTTTAGTCAGGGTGAGGGTGGGGGAGGTAATCTCTTGTGTCTACCCTCTTGCCCTCCCCCTTGCTCTCCTTCTGGGGGGACATTAGTCTGGCCTGTGCTGTCTCAGAGCTCCCTCTAACCATGTCCACGCACCTCAGGAGTGCTGGGCCAGGCCAGTGGCTTCTTTCCAGAGACAAAGTCTGCTGCTCTTGAGAAACTTCCAGTTTCCCCCCCAAGAAGAGAACCAGTGTGATTCTGTACGGACTAACAATGTATTTATGCTCATAATGTGTCTGATGCTGTGATGCACTTAACATGCATTATCTTATTTAATCTATTTAATAACTCCATAACCCTGTGCAGTAGGTACTTTTTTTCCCCTTTGGGTAGGTACTTTTAATGTCCTCGTGTTCCACTTGGGGCCCATAAGGGTAAAAGAGGTCAAATAACTTACTCAAGGTTGCACATCTCAGATTTGAGCCCACGTCATTTGACTCCAGAGCTTGTGGTCTTACCTGCTATCCTATACTGCCACCCTAGATTCCTGAAAATGTGCCTTTCCTGGTCATCCAGCCCAAGTAAGAACCACCCTAAGCATCAGTTAAATTGGTTCTGGTTCGGGCGCCTGGGTGGCTCAGTTGGTTAAGCGACTGCCTTCGGCTCAGGTCATGATCCCAGGGTCCTGGGATGGAGTCCCGCATCAGGCTCCCCCTGCTCTGCGGGGAGCCTGCTTCTCCCTCTGCCTCTGCCTGCCACTCCCCCTGCTTGTGCTCTCTCTCTGTCAAATAAATAAATAAAATCTTTAAAAAAAAAATTGGTTCTGGTTCCCTATGCCCAGCCCCCCACCACATATTTGGCTATGAGATTGGGGTCTCTCTTTCCTCCTTCCTCTCCTTTCTCTCCCCTTCATTCTAGCACAAAAATTTTTCCCGGGGAGGGGGGCTAGGCCATGCCAGAATCCCCTGACAATCAGGATGTACTTGTTTCAGGTGGAGGTGGATTCTGAGCTTGGATAATTATTGCCCCCTACAGAGTCGGGGGCAGTGGTCCCTCACTGCAGGGGCTGGAGGAGAACTGTACTCATGGGTTCTGTGGTTCTGAATCTTCCGGACCCTGCTGTGATGCCTTTCAAGGGAAGACTTTCAGAGTCTGTGAGCCCACAGTCCCTGGGGCCCTAGGGAGCAAAAAGCTTCAGACTGAGTCCTATCAGAAGAGCCCCTGTTTGGAATTGCAGGACCCAAGGCAGAGAAGATGCAGGGGTTTGTGTGCAGAAACACTGGTTAGGAGGCCATGAGTCCTGCCTTGAAGTTTGGAAGCTGTGGGTTTATTTTCCAAGTGTGTTCCTTGAGCAGAGACCACTGGACCCAGAGAAAAGGCCACTGAGACCAGATGGTACAAAGCGTGCCCCTGGGGTTGAAGGCGGGTTATTTGCACTCAGGCCCTGATTGCTCTTTGGGAGGAGTGAACATCATTGGCAAAAAGCCTAAGAAAGAAAAATCCTTGGAGGTGGAAAGAGAGGTGCTTTGAATGGATTGAGGACAAGAGGTTGGCCAAGGTGGTTCCAGAGCCAGGGATTCCAGGAGATGATGCCTCTTCCAGAAAGCTCCTGCCGGGCAAGAGTGAGAGTGAAGACTGAGTTACCCAAGGTGGGGCCGGAGTAGGGGTGGGGTTGGGCTAGAGGCTTGTTGGCCGGTGTAGGAAGCGTCCTTTCCACCCAATATATCAGACTAAAGCCCATCTCAGGGTAGCTCAAGCCCTTTGCTAGACCGTCTGGGCTACCCACCCTGACCGCTCCCTACAAAATTACTGCGTCTTCGGTTGGACTCTTTAACAATTGCTTCCACCTGCCTTATAGTATAATTAGGTTTTGCCCCATAAATTATACATTTTAAAGAGAATAAGCAGACTGTAATTATTTTTGTACTCTCACCCTATAGTGCCTGGTCGGCTATATGTACGTAGCAGTATCTGAGTAATGCTTGAATGAATGAATGAGCGAGAACCAGGTGAGGGTGTGTGTGTGTGTGTGTGTGTGTGTGTGTGTTGAGGGTAGTTACTGCTGAAGGCAAGAAAAAGATGAGAGAAGAGGTGGGATGGGGAGAAAAGAACCCGGGAAGCGAGTAAATAAATAATTGTAAATAACTGTAAAAAGCTATAATAACTGCTAATAATTATTGTGCGTTTACCATATATCAGGTATAGCAACTAACTGTCTCATGGGTATGTTCGAACCTGATGTTCACAACAATCTTACAAGGTTGGTACCAATTCTGTCCTTGTTTTACGGGTGAGGAAGCCACGTCTCAGCCACATGACCGGTGAGTAGCAATACCTCAGGGCTTTTGGCCTGGAGAGTCCAGGCTGAACTAGGAAACCAACTTGCTCTCCAGCCTCCCCTGTTGTGCTTCCTTATGGCCCCTGGACTTCTCTTTTGAGGCATTTTGTAGGCTTTTAATTTTTTTTAAAGATTTTATTTATTTATTTGACAGAGAAAGAGATAGCGAGAGCAGGAACACAAGCAGGGGGAGTGGGAGAGGGAGAAGCAGGCTTCCCACCGAGCAGGGAGCCTGATGTAGGGCTCGATCCCAGGACCCTGGGATCATGACCTGAGCCGAAGGCAGACGCTTAATGACTGAGCCACCCAGGCGCCCAGCTTTTAATTTTTTAATGACTTCTTTGAAATTATTTATTTATTAACTATCTTCATTGATGGAAAGTAAGCTGCAAGAAGATAGGGACCTCTCTTTTCTTTTCTTTTCTTCTTTCTTTTCTTTAGTAGTTTCCACACCCAACATGGGGCTTGAACTCACGACCCTGAGATCAAGAATCAGATGCTCTGCCAACCGACCCAGCCAGGCACCCCAATTTTCTATCTTTAGTTACATGCCTTGCCCTTAGAACTGCACCTGACACATAGGAAGCACTCAATAAATACATGCTTCCCAACTCACCGACAGAATGACGACTGCCTTTTAAAAATGACAACCCCCAGGATTCTCTCAGCCCATCTTCCACCCTGCCTCTCAGGTTTACCTGCCTCACCTCTGCACTCCAGTCCTGCCCGTCAGTGCCATCTCCTCCTCAGCCGTAACCTAAAGCTGGACCAGTGGGCATTAAATGCAGGGCCAAGTTTTTGTCCCAGACAATCCCTGGACTCAGCAAATGCTGATCGGGTGACTGTCTCTCTCTGGCTTAGGATGGAAAGATGCCAGGAAAGATCGAACCATCTACCCTGATGGGTTACACCAGGGCTTCTAGAAGGGATTTTGTGGCAGGAGGGAGGGGGGGGGAAGGAGATTGAGTGTCTCTGTGACTTGTGCAGGCAGCGTGATGGATGAGCAGTGGAAAGCCCTTTTATGAAACATGCCAGGCCCGCTGCAATAGTATCCCTCCCAACAGCCCAGAATTATATTTCCCTGAAGACACACTCAGTTGTGCTCTGGATTTACATGTGGGTGGCAACCTCCTGGCTCCTCCTTGGCCCTCCCAAAGGAGGTCTGTCTACAGATCCCCCAGCAGAGGAAGAAGCAGATGAGAACGGAGGGAGGTTTGAGCCCTCTTCCCAAGAGCCTTGGCGCTTCCTGGAAATGGACAGTCCTTTAAGAGTTCCCTGACTTGTGCGGGTCATACTTTCTCCCCAGCCTACCAGTTTTCAGTTTGGGTACACAGTGAAGATTTATTTTCTCTCTCTCTCTCTCTCTCTCTCTTTCTCTCTCTCTCTCTCAAAAAGTGGCTGAGCCTCTGATGTTTGGCACTCAGGTTCTCCTGCGCAGAGAGAATGGGTGGGCGGGTAGTTCAGAGTATCTGGAATCATGTATCTTTCCCGTGGCTGTAAACAACCGGGAGTCCCCCAGCACATTACCAAATACAGTAGAAAGGAGTCAGTGGACCATGCACCGACCCCGGCAACATCCAGCCGGGATGCGGAAGTCGGATATGTGCTTGAGCAGGGCATGCTTGGGGTTGGCCTATTCCTGACCGCCCCCCACCCCCACCCCCACCCCCATGGCCCCGTCTCTGCTTTTCTGGCTCTCCTGTGGTCTGATCAGCTTCTTCCAGCCTCTACATTTTTGTATCTTTTTCTCATTGCGTGGCCCCCTTGTCTTTAAAAGGCTAAATGCTCTGTACTAAATTTGGTCACACAGAGCTCCAAGATTCCCTGGAATGTCCTCAAGTTTCAAACAGTTCTGACAGCGAGGCAGGCCCGCCCCCTGCGTGGGGATTGGCTTCTCCTTTCAGGGCCAGGCTGTTGTCAAGTCTTATTGGCCGCCGGTTAGACCAGCCAGGGTCCACTAGCCCTGGGCTTGGGAGTTAGCTTGCAGTTAACACTTGGACACCTGTGGGTCTGCAGGGCAGGGCAGCGGAGCCACGTCCTCAATCCGCTGGGGGTCTGCTCCCAAGCCCACTCTGCTCCATCCAGACCAGCTTGTGCCCCCCCCGGACTCCTGTAGCGCCCCCCGCCCCCACAAGAGCCACAGCCCACTTTGCCAAGATGTCCAAGGTAGCCAAGTATCGCCGGCAGGTGAGTGAAGACCCTGACATCGACAGCCTGCTGTCCACGCTGTCTCCCGAGGAGATGGAGGAGCTAGAGAAGGAGCTGGATGTGGTGGATCCGGATGGGAGCATTCCCGTGGGCCTGCGGCAGAGAAACCAGACAGAGAAGCAGTCCGTGGGCACGTACAACCGGGAAGCCATGCTCAACTTCTGTGAAAAGGAGACCAAGAAACTTATTCAGAGGGAGATGTCCATGGATGTGAGTGAGCAATATGCTAGAGGGAAGGGGGGAGGGGAGGGAGGGGAGGGAGACCTGAACTTGTGACCAGGATGCTTCTCTCCTCAGAGGAAAAGGTCTCGTTGGCAAAAGATGTAGCGCTTCAGAACCGATTACCATCTGCTGAGCGGGCAGTGTGAACCTCTTACCCCTAATTTCTGTTATAAAGCACAAGTTGGCTCTGTCGGGAGAACTCAGCATCCCGCAGTAGCTGATAGGGCTGCTAGCAGAATGGGAGCTGGAGAATGCCCTTGAAGCGTTCATTGTCGAGTTGATTCCGTACTTGTCCCCCCGCACTTTTATCCCCCTGCACATTCGTTTCACCCGTTGTGGGGAGGAGGCAGAGGATAGAATGATGCTTGCAGTCTCTTGGCAGCCGCCCCAGAAAAGAAAGTCAGGCCTCCTCGCAGAACCGCTCATTTTGAGGGCCTCTGGCCCTGTGGGCAACTCGTGGCACACGAACCACTTGAGGAGGTGCAGGGGCAGATGGGCTTCCCAAAGCAATGGGAGTCAGGGGCCAGGGATCTGTGAGGTGGGCAATGCATCTTCACCGGATGGCCTCAGTTTCCCTCCCAGGGAAGTTGGGGTTTGCACTTCCTAGAGGAGCATCTTGAGGGAGCATCCCCTCCTGTTGGTCATAAGTCCTTTTGTAAGCCAGCAAGGTCCCTTTGCTGGGGGATGAAGGTAGTTCCCAGCAGGGTTTTGCCTTGAGGAGGGGACAGAGGAGGGGCCGGTCAAGGAGGGCCATTTTGGAAACATCTGCTGACTTCTAGGATGGGCTTAAGCAAGACCTGCTTTTTGTTTTCCTGGCTTGGCATGGAGGAGTCCTTTATTCATCATGTATTCATATGTGAGTTTTCTTGGGACAAACTAGACTAGCCTCCACCTGAGTGTGACTCGTAGAGCCCCTTGTCCACTGTAGAGAGGGGTTAGTGGGGAAACTGTCCTCTGTGAGCCGGTTCTTACTGGCCATGTCTCTTGTCCTTGTGGATTCTTGCATGAGAAAGTTCAGTCTCAGTTCTTGTCCTTTGCTTCACTTCTATGGAAACCAAGACCCAGAGCTTCACATGATGTGTTCATTCTCCCAAAGGAAATGAGAAAGGCAACAGTATCTCCCGGAATTTCTGTGACATGTCTGGCTGGGTCAGAGATTGTGCTGGACATTAGTCACGGAGCACGTTTGCAGACAGAGCCCTGGCCCCTTGAGTGAAGGGATGGGGGAGGGAGAGATGAAGGAAAGTGAGGTAGAGGAGCTGGACCTCTGTCTCCATCCCTACCACCCTGGGCCCAAGAAGTTGGGAGCAAGGGGAGTCAGAAGGCTTGAAATTCATTACCCTGTGGGCAAGGTGATCGCCACTCGGATAATGATGAACAGATACTAGAACATTTATGGAAAAGATGAGAGGATATAGGGCACTCCCTGTGAGGGCCTGGTACTTCAAGACAGCTAACAGGACACGTAGGGAAAGCCACGCAGCACGCTCAGGGCTTTGGCATCTCTGTAAATCCCCCACTTGGACCCCCAACTTTCACTCTGGAGCCCGGCCCTGCTCTTGCCTCACTCCTAGTCCCCAGACTCTGTGCCCAGTGGCTTCTGGTGTGCAGAAAGATAGTCCTGAGGCTAAAGTCAAATGCAGAACATTCTTAATCCCCAAGCAAGATGCTTAGGCTGTGGAGAGTGTGAGAGACTCTCAGTCTCCTGGAAATTGCATTCTCAAAAGGCTTTTTCCTCAGCCAACTGAAACCATGGCAAGCCTCGCCTTCCCGGTCCCACCTCCCTCACCCCTGCCAGGTGCACGCTTGTTTCTGCAGACAGAGTCTGAATCAGGGAACGGAGGGTGTGTGTGTGTGTGTGTGTACATCTTCAGCATGAGAAGATGGCGTCAGGGCCATTTTTCCCTTGGAGGGATAGGCTGTCCCCATTCTTCCTCATCCAGTTCAAGGGCATATGTCGGCAGAGTGCCTGGGTGGAGTTCTGGGTGATCCCGAGCCATGAGCAGAAGTCATCTCTGTAAGTCTGGATGAATGGCAATGAACCCTACAAAGTGACCTCTTTAGCACCATTAGCAAGCTAGTAAGTGTGGGATTAAGAACTTGTTTAAGTGCCAGGAAAGCCTGGTTTGAGTACCAGCATCTCTTCCTAATAGTATAAATAAGTAACTTACAAGTTACCCAGTCGGCCTCCCTTCCCTCAGCTACACAGAATCCAGCCCGTAGGATTGTTGTAAAAAACGGAGAGGACAATAGTGGAAAGCACTTAGCACAGGGCTTGGCTTATAATAAGTACACAATAAATGGCAGCTATGCAATTATTAATTCATTGCTGTCTCCCCCTGCCCAGCCCCTCCCTTCCATCAGTCCTCTGAGGGCTGAGCAAGCCAAGCCTGTCTGCTCAACTAGGGGCCAAAGTAAACAAACGAGCGAACCCTGGATGCTCAGGCTGGGGGGCCTTTGACATTGCAGATGCGGAGCGGCTCCAGGTGGGGGCTCCAGGCCGCTGGACTGGCGGTAGCTCTCCCGGCTAGCGGCATTTGCTCCCTGTAAGGAACGGACTGGAAGTTAGTTAAGACAGAGTAACTCGACTCTAGGAAGCACAGCAAGGTGACCATTTACTGAGAATCTTCTGTAGGCGAAGCATATTCACCTCTTCATTTAAACCTCACACTTCTTGGGAGATATGTAGGTTTATCCCCATGATACAGAGCAGAAAACTGAGGCTCAGAGAAGTTGAGTAACTGCCCTAAGTTCACACAGTCACAAGTACCCCGCCGGGCTTTAAGGACAGTGCTTCCTTCTCTCTGCCTCGCCAGGGTACAAAAAAGGAGCCCCTGGCCCGAGGAGTTTATCATCCAATTAGGATCACAAGGCACACAAATACAGAACCCCCGTGGAGGTGAGATGGGGCCCAGACCACAGAGTCCTATGTTGCTGTAGGAGCAGCAGGTTATCACATCGTCTAGCCTGGCTGAATGCTCATCCCTGCCCCCAGGGCTGGGAACATAAATAGTAAAACCAAGTGTGGCCCCGGGATTCAAACTCTTAGAACCAAGTGTGGATTAGGGAAGGAAGTCCTGCCAAGATATTGGATGGCATTAGGAATTTTTGTTAATTCCTTTTGGGTGGGATAACGGTATTATGGATATACTTTTTAAAGGATCCTTGCCTTTTAGACACAGATCCTGAAATATTTATGGGGAAAACTGATAGGATTAGGGCATTTCCTTTAAAATAATATGGGCAAGGGGAGTGGGTAGGGGGATAGATGAACTAATACTGTCCACCAGTTGATAATTGTGGAAGCTGGGTGATGGCTCTGCATGTGTACCCATTACACAGTTCTCTCTACTTTTGTGTATGTGCTTGACATTTTCCATAACAAAATGTTGGTTTGTTTTTTTAGACAGAAACTGAGAGCGGAGGCAGGCCCAGTTTGGGTCTTAAGTTCTGGTTTCTCCGGGGGAAGAGGAGTCCCAAGATTCAAACTCCGGCTATCGTGCTGGGTGGGTGTAGACTGTGCAAGGGGCCTCGGGCGGCACCTCCCTCAGTGGATAGAATACTCCAGGGCTGTCCTGGATTGGTTTACCCCCTGCTTCATGAATACTCCTCTCCCCAACCCACCCCTGTGCCTCCTTTGAGGTCTCAGGCACCACTTCCTCCAGGTAGTCTTCCCTGACTGCCGGGCAAGTGTAGGAACCATGTCTGATCTGAGCACTCCAGTGCCACTCTGGACCAACCCCATCCTGTTTTCTTATCTCTCTTCCTCCCCAGCTTGTGTGATTCTGGTGGACAAGTGCTAACATAGGGCCCAGCACAGAGGTGGGCCCTCAGCCTCTGTTCGTTGAATGAATGTTAGGAGGGGAAGGTGGGGCTTGGCAGAGCTGACCTGTGGCTTCCCTCCCTCCCTTTAAAAGTGCCTGTGTGTTCTACCCTAGTCCTTCTGGGACTCTCCTTCTGACCAGGTGGAAGACAAGGCCCCCTGGGCAGGTGTGTGGCCAACAGTTGAGTGAAACCCTTGTGCTTGGCTCAGGTTTCAGGAACCTGATCCCAGCAGGTCAACTCATGTGTTCTCTTTCCTTCCCCAGTGGGAAAGAAAAATCTCCAGCCTGCCTCCCCTGCCCTTCTCCCTGGCGTTACCAGGGGCTGGGGATTAGCGCCTCCACCCAGCCAGGAGCAGGGGCAGCTGAACTGGGGGGGTGGAGGAAGCTCTTTTAGGTTCTCCCTTGAGAAGCTAACAAGAAGCACCCCACTAGCCAGTCACCCGGCCTCCTCACCTTCGCCTCGGGTCTCTGGCTCACCCAGCCTAGCAGGTCCCCTCCCCTACCAGGCCCAGCTCATGGCCCAGTGTCCATGGCTTCTCTACCGGGATGGGGATGCCGGGCAGGCCCGAGGCCGGCAGCACAACCCTCCGATTACCCTTTGCAGAGGGCTGGGCCCTATCAGGAGTGCCCTGGGCAGCAAGGCTCAATGATTAAGGAGATTAACCCCAACTGATACACACCCAAAATAGCCCTGGAGGCTGGGGTGGAGAGGGCAGAAGAGGTGAGGGGGGCCTGTAGACCTGGGGAGGCGATAGCAGGCACCCAGTCAGGGTTAGACAAGTTTAAAAATCTCTCCCTGAAGTCTGAAAGGTGCCTCTGTCCAGAGTTTAAAAACTAGTTAACCAACTTCTTAAACTAGGTGGTGGGATCCGCAGGTGTTTGTTTTCATTGTTGCTCTTACTCATATTTTATACATTTTCTTCTGTGTGTATAGACTATCCGATCTGATGGATTTTAAGCGGCAAGGCCCCAGCGCCTGCTCCCACGCCCTCGGCACCGCCCCTGGTGCTCGACTTTTCTCAGCAGGACCACAGGGAGAAGAGCTTGGGTGGATGGGACATGTGGCAAGAGGGAGGCAGGCCAGATAGGACCAAGGAGGAGATGTAAACATGAAATGTCCCCACAGCGAGCGGGAGATGCAGATGGTCAGGGGACGGGCATGAG